TTCAGGTTTGTTTATGTGTTTCTTTGCGAATACCTATTTAATTTTTTATAGATAAATGATATTTAATTAGTCTAAGTAAAAACCAAAGTCATTAAAAATGTATCGGATTTATTTAGAAATACATTTATATTCCGTTGTTCTTTTTTTTTAATCGATTATATAATGATTAATATTCGATTCGAAATAAAACGATTTTAAAAATGGAACATTTCATGTATAAAAATAAATTAGTTTTCAAAACTCAATAAACAACTTTTCAAATTTCAGTTTTAATTTGTTAGATAAAAGCAACGGAAATGACTGTTTTAGGTCCATTTGTTTCCTGAAAAAATCAACTTTTTCTTGAGTCGCCATCTAGTGGAGGTACTTTTTAGTGTTATCGATTTTTTTTAAACTTCCTCATTACAATGACAAATTGAATAGTGAACAATGGTTACTATGGTAACATTTTTATTCCATATACAAACTTCCACTCCCATTATTTGCTGTTTTTATTAGGGACAATATATATCCTATGTCCATCGCATATGATGTAGCTTCCCGTGGGTGAATGAATTTTTAAAATCGGTCCAACAGTTTCGTAGCTTATTCGTTTCAAACAAACATGAAATGCGACATGATAGGCTCAAAATAAAACTTACGCAATCATTACAATTTGTCGACCAAATAGGTAGCTTTTGAAATGAATTAACTGGCAACACTAATTTTAAAACAAAAGATGACCGTTTTTTTTCTCACTGTCAGTTTGATTAGCAACGTTGTTTACCTTTAGAAAACAACTACATTTTTATTATTTCAGAATTAACGTTTATTTCTTAAGGGTTTTAAGGTATTTTGGTACAAATAACGGTGTTGATATTGTGTGATAACTACCTTTTTACTTCGATGCGAATATTTTGGTAAGTATTCAAATTAAATTACTTTATTTTATGTAAAAGCTAACCTCCATAAATTTGTAACATGAGTGACCAAAAGGCATATTTTTTACTTTTAAACATATAAATAATAGTCAAAAAGTATTCTATTTTTTTATTTACTTCGTACAAGCGATAAGTAAAAGTATTGTACAATAATATTTCTACAATTGTTTTAAAGATTTATTGAAAAGATGTCATGAATACTGTAACATGAGTGACCGGTAACTCACGTTACATGAAGTAACGTGGGTTACCGATGTTAAGTTTGATCCAATGTGACTGGATTTGTAATATTGTAGTATTATGTTGAATTTATTGTATTGTTTTAGAAATAATGGCTTTGACGGGAGCTGAAACGATGAGGCATCGAAGGGAAAAACTAAAAAAACTGAAACAATACGATGATTTTAAGGCCAAACATAGGCAACAAGCACAAAAAAGTAGAGCTAAGGCAAAAATAGAGCTAAATAAATTACCTAAAACAAAATTGAACAAAAAACTAGAGGAAATAAGAAGGAAAACTAGAGAAAGAGTACAAAAACATCGAAATAAGAAGAAGGAACTTTTAGACGATAACCAACTGGAAAGTACTTCTTATTCTAATCCTAAAACCCTTGGTAAAGCTAAATCTAGGGTTAAAAAAGCATTGCCTGCATGTCCTTTACGGAAGAAAGCTGTACTTCAAAAGATTTTGGAGGAAATAGATATAGAACCATCAACTTCTACACAAAAATCAAAACACTGCATCTCTGATGAAATATTAGCAAAAGTGAAGCAATTCTATGAAAGAGATGATATAAGTAGGCAGGCTCCTGGCTTAAAAGACGTAAAAACCGTACGTGAGGGTAATACAAAGTCAAAGCAGCAAATTCGTCACCTTTATATGCCGGTAAAAGAAGTTAACGCATTATTTGTGGAAGAAAATGGACAGATTGTAGGGAAAAGCAAGTTTTCAGAGCTAAGACCGCAACATGTCTTATTAAGCTCTACTATACCGCGTAATGTATGTTTGTGTCGCTACCACGAAAACTATATTTTGGCTGTTAATACTCTCCACAATGTCTCTAAATCATTCCCAGCCTACGACAGTTCTTTCCTCTACAATATTTTATGCAAAACTCCAACAAAAGATTGTTGGCTAAATGAGTGCAATAAATGTAAAAATAAATTGAAAAAAATGATGGACAGAGCCATCAGGGACACTGAAAGTTTGCCATCGAAGTAACGTGGTATTTCTGGAAGGAAGATAGTAAAGGAAAACTCTGTAAAACAGTTCAAAGTGGCGATCTGGATGAACTGCAGAAACATTTGATCGATCTGACTCCTTCCTTCAAAGTTCATAGCTTTGTTAAGAATAGCCAAGCAAAAGCTTATGAAAAAGACAAAGAGGCAGTCACCAAAAACAAAAATGAAGTGACAAGTCTCTTGCAGATTGATTTCTCAGAAAATTATACCTGCTTGGCTCAGGACGAAGTGCAGAGCTTTCACTGGGTGCAACCGCAGGTCACTTTGTTCACAATATCTCTTTGGCACTGAGGAAAACATTTTCCAATCGTCATCGTATCTGATAACCGACACCATACGAAAGACACCATTGTCCCTTTCCTGCAACGGACACTAGAAGAACTTCCGGACAATATAAAAGAAGTCCACGTTTGGTCAGATTGCCCAGCGTCGCAATTTAAAAATAGATTCATAGCTGCTTCACTGCCTCTGCTTGAAAAAATATCAAACAAGAAAATTATATCGAACTACTTTGCAACATCACACGGGAAAGGGCCTGTTGATGGCATCGGAGGTGCCCTAAAACGTTTAGTAAGATCGAAAGTAATAAGCCGCGTAGAAAACGTCTTTAATGCCCAACAATTTGCTCAGGTTGGTAATAAATATTCAAGTGTGAAAGTTATAAATGTCAACGAAGAAGAAATTGAAAGGAGGTTTGCAAATTTAAAATTAAAGGATGTCTTTGACGCAGCTGTACACGTTGAGGGTATTGCAAAGATACACAATATTTATACCAGCAATTGTGTGGTGAAAACTGAGTCCGTCACCATTGACTCGAATCTTATAAAAGAAAAATTATTTTATCATACTGTGTATGGATCAGACGAGTCTGACAGCTCTGATGATGACGTTCCTTTGTCTATTATAAGTAAAAAATGTTAGTTTTAAGCTTGAACACAATTTTTCTATTTAATTTTAATTTTTAGCGTACAAAATATGTACTACAATACTTTGATTATTAATGTAACGTGAGTTACCAGAACCCATGTAACGTGAGTGACCACAATTTCTTATTTTTTTTTGCAGAAGTACTACTAATATAATTTATATTCTTAAATTAAAGATCTCATGTGTAAGACATTTAATAAAAACGGATATGATTTTTAATATTTTAATTTTTTACAATTGGAACAGAATTTATATGAGGTCCATAGTAACCCAAAAGCTCATGTCGCAAAAGGTAACGTGAGTTACCAACATCGTTTATTGAATTTAAAAAAGAACTTTAACTGATAAATTTAAAATAAGATCAGACCCACATTTTGTGCATTATAACAACGAATTATTCATCAAGAGGATAGTTGACATTAGTATAAAATATGGTAAGCTTGCATTGTTAGTATTGATAATGCAGTAATAATGTAACGTGAGTTACTATGGAATCGCCAGCGGCTTCGCCCGCGTGGACTCTAGGGAAACGTTTAGTGGGATAAAAAGTATCCTCTTATTTAAGTCAGGTAATACCCTATCTGTATACCAAATTTCATCAAAATCCGTTTAGTAGTTTCGGTGTGATTGACGGAAAAACATCCAAACAAAGAAACTTTCACATTTATAATATTAATAGGATTCCGCCAGCGGGTACGTCCGCGTGGTCTTGTATTATACATAAAAACCTCCCTTTTGAATCACCCTATCTATGAAAAAAACCGCATCAAAATCCGTTGCATAGTTTTAAAGATTTAAGCATACATACGTATATAGGGACAGTGAAAGCGACTTTGTTTTTTACTATGCAGTGATAAGTTTCATGTTATTAATTACTGTCAATAATATAACGTATGATCCCCGCAAATTGTTAATACGCATGGCCGCCATTTTGATGATATAGATACGTTCAAAAATCGGTACCGTTAGCAAATAAACACTGGTTGACGAGTACACATATTGAGTTGGGTTGTGTTGAGATCGCACGTCATTTTTGTTTGATTTTTTTTTTTGGGTTTCGATTGTTATAAAGTTTTGTTGTTACTTGTTATAGTTGACTTAAATAGCAATTGCTATTATGATTTTCACAATAAGTAAACAATTTCACTAATAATAAATATATCTAATGTGTCCCATTACATTATTACTTTTGGTTATGTTTTAAAAATATGTCCTTTCCGTTTGTTATCGCGTTGTTTTAAAGTATTTCTTTTTTTGTTTACCATATACCTCAACATTTTTATAGAAATTGATTTTTTTCCAAAAATTTATTCATTAAAATAACAAACTAGAAGTAATTAAATTATTATAACAATATTTTAAGGATTATCCTTAAATATTTCAATAATTAACAAATAATCTCTTGCTTTTTGTGCTATCTCTACTTTCTATTTTGATATGACGTCACAAAGATGTTATTTGGACAAGGTTCCTGCACATTAGTAATTGAAGAGACTAACGGTCAGTTGTATAAAATTCTATCAAGGTTTAATGACTCCTTTAAGCTGTATTGAAAGTCAAATTTGTATGGGTAATGACCACAGAAATAAATCTAGTTAGAAGGAAAATATTCGTCGATTTATATGGAGACCGAGCGTGCCACATTTTGTGTAGGTATCATGACGTCACGATCTTAATTTAGTGATGGAAGACATAATTTCACTTGCATCGAATACATGTTGTATTTGAAACGGCATACCGATTCTTATCGATTGAAAAAACGATATCGATCGACGGAGACCAACGTGTACAGTCTGTCTATAAAGTCATGAAAAGAATGTTTGAGGAACTAACATTAGACACAAGTATGACAACACTGAATCAAAGTACATCGACTGTCAAAACTTTTAAGCGAAGTTCGTACACTTTTTCCTTCTAACTAGATATATTTCTGTGGTAATGACGCTTTAAACCAATGACAATTTTAATGGGCGTTTGTGAAACTAGCTGTCATATTGATATACTCGCCTACCTGCCGTATACGGACGGGGTAGAATGTTCTGGAACGGTGCGGCGTGCAGTAAATCCGTTACTTCCTCCTGGCTCAATGCCTGTTTACATAAAAAAGGACATTGTAAAAGAATATTTATTATCATACAGCACTTCTAGCCGTTTTCCTGCGACTTTACCCGTATAAATAATAATCTTTATCATATATATATATTATAGTCTTTATGTCAAAGAATGTTCATGATCGGATCTGTATTTCCGAACATTAACACTGACAAACAAAGTTAGAATCTTTACTTCTCTATAGTAATACTAGCTTTCCGTCTGCGGTTTCACCCACGTGCTCCCCAAGGAACTGTTTAGTGGGATAATAATAATAATAATATAATAATAATCATTTAATCCTCACCATAATCATCCTTTGAATTACATGGGAATAACAATGTATCAGATAGCCGACTATGGTGGACTGACACCAGCACTAGGGTAAAAAGTATTCTAAAGCTTTGAAATCACCTACGGGAAGCTACATCATATGCGGTGGTCATAGAATATATATTATCCCGAAAAACGGCAAATACAGCGATGAAAATGGGAATGGGAATTTGTATACTTAAATGTTACCACGGTTAACAATGGTGTTTACTATTTAAATTGTCATTGTCTGTGTCATGATATGAATTGTTATCGGAATAAACATTACCACAGGGCACATGGGGGCGAAGCCGCTGGCGGAAAGCTAGTTATTTAATAAAATGTATTATAATATGAATGTCTTGATAAATATTGACATTACTTCGAATAATTCGACTTCCCACTTAGAACTTGTACTATTCTGACGTGGATATTTAAATATATGTCGAACAAAACAACATCTTATTTGTAACGACTGTCATGGGAATACACATTTCATTCATTCATTCGTTCGAGTGGATATAGGACCATCGTACGAATTTTCTCTGTTCGGCGACCAAACTATAGCTGTCTTCGTAAATTATAACCTGAATCACCCGCGTACGATACAGTTTATAATGTGAGACAATTCAAACGATCGGTGCAGTAGTTCCGGGGTCTCATCATCATCATCATCAGCCCTTTACGTCCCCACTGCTGGGGCTCAGACCTTTCTTATGGATGATTTAAGGAGGATGGGCCGTGACCCTCAACGCTGGGCCAATGCGGATTGGAGGGTATTGACGACTGCAAATGCAGCTGGGACCAACAGCTTAACGTGCCTTCCGAAGCATGGCGTAGCTTAAAAAAAAAAATATTTTTTTGGTCACCCATCCCGTGACCGACCCTTACGAAGGTTGCTTAACAACAACACGGCGCTCATCCACTACGCCATCGAGGGACTTTCGGGGTCTACACGTTTGATATCACCTCTTTATAATATACTAGTGGCCGCCAACGACTTCGTCCACATTTTCCATTATTTCTTCGCTCCTTATAGTTGCAGCGTGATGTTATATAGCCTAAAGCCTTCCTCGATAAATGGTCTATTCGACACAAAAAGAATTTTTCAATTCGGACCAGTAGTTCCTGAGATTAGCGCGTTCAAACAAACAAACAAACTCTTCAGCTTTATAATATTAGTATAGATAGTATAGAAGTATACATACCTGTTCGATCAGCATACAAAACAATATGATGTTCCCTAGTTCTCTAAACGCATGGAACAGTTCCGTACGAGCGTCCGGATACTGTACTATGTCAGTCAACTGCGCGTGATAGTAGCCGAGGACGCCTGGGAACAAGACAATATTTATAATGCTTGGGTAAAAAAAAAAAAAACTGTACCGGAAAAGAGCAAAATAAATCACTTTTGTTGAATGGGAACCCAATTAAAAGAAATTTATTTTAATGGATTTTATTTATTATAAATATTTGGTTCCTTCTGGTTTTTTACTATTTGTTGTTGAAGCTGATATAAAATATATAAGGGGCCGTCCATTAATCACGTGATGTTTTTTTCAACAAATAAACAGCCAGTTGCACAAACGTCCATTGAATTTGTCATTAGTTTAAAGCAGCCCTTCTCAAAGTGGGTAATAACGCCCCCTAAAGATAACCCAGAAGAAAAATGGGGGCGATTTCATCTAAGAGGACTCTTCGACAATTTTTCGACTATCGACTACAATTTGTGAATATCAATTAATGTTAATTAAGTGACTGCTCATAACAACTCGCTTCTATGTTTCTCTCCGTGTAATTTATATGCATACCTATCCTGTTTTATGGAATAAACAAAATAAATTTCATGTCAATCGGTCGCTCAAGTCTTGTTTAGAATCATTTTAAATAATAAGCTCCCAATAATTAATGTAATTTGAAGTTATAGTAATTTTTGTGTAGGTAAAAGAATAGGGGCGGTTATAAATGTGTTACTCTTAAAGTGTTTTAATTTCCGCTCATATAACTCCCAATAAAATTAATGTAATTTGAAGTTACGTTAGTTTTTAATAGTTGAACAAAAGGGGGCGCTTAATGTTTTTAATTCCCAAACTGGGCAGTGGACGACAAAAAATCAAATCAAATCAAAATTATTAATTCAGTCTAGGCTGTTACAAGCACTTGTGAAAGTCGAGAGCTACGCCATCGGTTCGTAAATCTACGGCGGGAGACCTTGTACCGAGAAGAACCGGCAAGAAACTCGGCAAGGGCTCTCCCTGTTTTATTTCATACAGAGCGTCAAGACTGAAAAATGTCTTCATTAAAATTTGAAGTCACTTTCCTGTACAATATTACACAATATAAGAGTAAAACAGTATTTTCGTCAATCCAATCACATGTGTAGCCAAAGACACATGTGATTGGATTGACGATACCGATAAACAATATAATATATATGAAAATAAAACGAGCCATATTTAACACCAAGCAGTTTTGTCGTTCAAAAGTTTAAGAACCTTGTCTAAAGCGACATTAACAATGAATTAATATGCAGAAGAAAAAGTGTAGGTGTCAGCACACTTCCTTGGGGAACACCAGCATTTATAGTCAGTAGGATCCGAGCATCCACCGTCGATAAATACCTTAATGCTTCTGTCTGGCAAAAAACTAGTTTCGCCATTCGCTATAGTCTATTCAACTCCCTATGAGACAAAATGTAAACAAACAAACCAATGTTTCTCAAACTTTTTTTATTGATGTTGGTATGTAAATAAAATTTGTTAATGGGACAAATTATTGTATGGTAGGTATGCAATACAATAAGTCTATTTCTTTTTCAAATAGCAATTGTAAGAGTCACATAATTTTATTCAGAATCTTCCTCGTCTTCCTCTGAGGAACTAGTCGCACCAACTTCTATCACAAAACGGTCAACCAAATCATCTATGATACCGTTAATTTAAAAAAAAATTTGCTCCTGTTTTATGACATGGTCAATGCACTTTAGCACAGTTCCTACTGTTAACCTTTTTAGAGCATCGGTTAAAAAAGATTTTATTACATTTAACTTAAAACTTAGCAATAACAGAAAACAAAAAACTTAACAACTGGCATAATATTTTGCACGAGTCAACGAGTTGATCGAGAGTAAAAATGGCCGGTATAACCCGACTAATTACAAAATTTCACGTTTCTACGTAAAGTATTTGTCTTATCACTACTCATTAAGTTAGTAGTATTATATTTAGTCCAATGTTTGGGAACAGCTTCTATTTTAGGTGTTTTTAATGTCACTTTCTTTTTTCATTAATTCTAAATGCATTTATATTTTGACATATTAAAGAACCTTTTTCCAGTTTGTTTACATTTTGTCTCAGAGGAAGATGAATAGACTATAGAGTTACACACTCACCGTTGGAACCGTAATCGTATCTCGGCAATTTACAGTGCCGCGGCATAACCGCCTGCAGGGCCCTGGTGAACTGCGCGAGGGTGCCGTGCAGCAGCCCCCGCGCCACCCCCAGCAGCTCGGAGACCACCATCGCCACCCCCTGGTAGCCCAGAAGGCGGACCAGAGCGTGCAAATGTACCCCGCCCACGAAACCTGTACGATAACTTGGTGTTAACTTACATTATTATTAAATTATGTTATCATTATAAGACCATAGTTTTTTTTTCTCTCTTTATTTATAATGTATTGATCTGGTAATGACATGGTTTTTGTAAATGTCATTACTCCTATTAGAGCTGGTGAGTTTCTTGCTCGTTCTTCTTATCAGCCAAAAGACGTCCTGAACGAGCGGTAGGGGATATAATATTGGACGATTCAAAAGTACTTTTAAGAAGTCTATTTGTATAAAGATTGTTTTGACTTTCGACTTTGACTTTGATGTGTCACTTAGATCCTGGTGTATTGTAACCTTTTCTGTTATTAATTTATGTTACATAAATATATCCTATTAATCATATTAATATTATAAATGTGACAGTTTCTTTGTTTGGATGTTTGTCGGTCAATCATGCCGAAAGTACTGAACTTATTTTGATGAAATTTGGTATACAGATAGGGTATTAACTGACTAAAAAGTATCCTATTACTTTTTATCCCACTAAACATTTCCCGCTCATGAAACCTGAATGATAACGTGGTGTAACACTTAGATGCTGTTGTATTATATCTCTTTACTTATTGATTTGAAAGAAAGAAAGAAAATGTTTTTATTGGCCTTCATTTCGGAATTATAGAAAAAAAAAACAGCACAGATATATATTGGGCCATATTGGCTCTCTCAGTGATATCTTTTGTAACAGTAAACATCACAAAAGCACTGATATTTTGAATATAAGGTTTAGCGTTGGAATAACTATAAAACGAGAACGCACTTAGTATTAGTCAAAATTCATATTTTTATACAGACTTGGCAAAGGTTAACCTAGTACGAGGTTCTACGTGAGTAATATTTACTCTATATATAAGTTTATCCGTGTAGTTGTATGTATGTGTGTATGTACATTACGTATTTATCGGATATATCTGTATTATGTATGTATTCACTACATATTTTATTCTTCATTTTTAATTAAGATTATTTGAACATTTTTTCTTTTTTTTTTACAACATTTACACCTCCGTCTTCATAAATTGTTTTCACTCTTTCCATCCTATGGTTGCCTGGAAGGAATCGCTTTGAGCGATAAGGCCGCCAATTGTTACATTATTTTGTAGAAATGTTTTAAATTTGTAAATGTAACTTTGTGTATTGTTAACAATAAAGAATTTTCTATTCTTATTCTATTCTACGCTTAGAACGTAATAGGTTTGCTTATACTCAGTATAATATGAATTTGGACTAATACTCGTATTAAAATTGCAATTTTAGCTTAACTTTACTCTGACGCTACACCTTGTTTATAAACAGTACTGATAAAGTGCCTATATGTTAATCCAGATTGAGAATAACCCGTACATCAAATTTCATCCAAATCCGTTTTTACGATGTAACAAACATAAATACCTACAATAGCTTTCGCCTTTATAATTTTAAGTAGGATTCAACAAAGTCACAAAAGCAGGTTTGTTTTTGTTATTTTTATAAAAATAAATAAATATATAACAAGTAGCTCGGTGACGTAGTGGATAAGCGCCGCGGCCCGCGATCGTTGTCGTTAAGCAACTTTCGCAAGGGTCAGTCACGGGATGGGTGACCGAAAAATTATTATCTCGAGCTACTCCGTGCTTCGGAAGGCATGTTAAGCCGTTGCTCCCGGCTACATTTGCAGTCGTTAATACCCTCCAATCCGCATTGGGCCTGCGTGGAGGGTCATGGCCCATCCTCCTTAGCCATTCATAAGGAAGGCCTGAGCCACTGCAGTGGGGACGTAAAAGGGCTGGGGAGGCAACAAAGTCTCAAAAGCAGTTTTGTTTTTGTTATATTTATAAAAATAAATTAATATATAGTAATAATAGGTACAGCATTCACGACAATCATAGAAACTTATTATAACAAAGGAAATAGAAGTATATAAAACATGCGATCTTATAATAAAAAAAAACCATAGTAACGCTTGTCGCGCTTGTTGATTGTCTATCTATATATAGTATACATGTCACAGGCAACTGATCAATGAGGAAGTATTAAAAAAAACATAAGTTCCTAAAATCATACTAGATGGCGCTACGATGCATTCTTGATTTCTCCACGACACAACTCTTCCGGTTTTCTTTCATGTTTAAAAGTAAATTAATTTCCAAAACACAATTAACAACTCATATTCTATTTGTACACTTTCGTATTTGTATTGATATCTAAGTTTCGAGCTTTGCAAATTTCAGTTTTCTTATATGTTAGTTAAAATTAACGGAAATGTACTATATTTGAGCCATTCGTTTCCTGCAGAAATCAACTTTTGCTAGAGTCGCCATCTAGTGGAGGTGCTTTTTAGTGCTTTCTTTTTTTTTCTCAAAATACTTCCTCATTGGGCGGCCTAGCTCTTTAATTAATAACGCTTTAATTAAATACAATACGGCTGAACAAAGGTCAGTCATCGAATTAACTGTCAACTCACCAGGAACAATGATATATATTGGTAGGATAAGTTCGATATTAAAAAATAATTCTTTAAATTGCACAAAAACTAAGGAATTTTTGCAGGAAACAAATGGACCAAAGAAAGTAATTTCCGTTCCTTTTAACTAACATATTAAAAATCTAAAATCCGCAAAGTCTGAAAACTAAATATAAACACAAACACGAAAAAGTACAAACAGAAAATAAGCTGTTTATAGAGTTTTGCAAATTAACTTTTGTACACGAAAGTAAACCGGAAGGATGTTGTCATGCACCGCAGCGACATCTAGTATGATTTGGGGAACTGATTTTTTTTGAAAACTTCCTCATTGATAACCCGTTTTACCAGTTAACAGCGACATATATACTATCTATAAATAGACAACCAACAATAACTCCTCATCCCGTACCCTATAAGTGACGACATCGCACTGTACACCAGCGATGACACTCACCGTTGTACTGCGCGTACTGCGCCGAGTACGCCAGAGTGAGCTGCTTGGAGCCCCACAGTAGAGCGTGCCCCGCCTGCTGAGGGCGCTCCCTCTGTACGCCGGCCGCGAATTGTATGCCGCGGCATTTGACGAATCTACAACATACATACGGATATTATTATAAATTAATATAAGCACATAGAAAATAGTTATCTATACTAATATTATAAAGAGAAAAACTTTGTTTGTTTATTTAATGGTAATATATATATCATCATCATCATCATCACCACCACCACCACCACCACCACCATCATCATCATCATCATCACCATCACCACCACCACCATCATCACCACCATCATCATCATCACCATCATCAGCAGTCCTTTACGTCCCCACTGCAGGGGCTCAGGCCTTCCTTATGGATGGTTAAAGAGGATGGGCCATGACCCTCCACGCTGGCCCAATGCGGTTTGGAGGGTATTAACGACTGTAAATGCAGTCGGGACCAACGATTTAACTTGCCTTCCGAAGCATGAAGTAGCTCGAGATATTTTTTTTTCGGTCACCCATCCCGTGACCGACCCTTGTTGAAAGTTGCTTAACAATAACGATCTTAGGCCGCGGCGCTTATCCTCTACGCCACCGAGCTACTGTCGCTGCGAAATTGTTTAAATATAATAATATATGAATATTATTATATTTGAACAATTTCGCATTCAAAATGCTACACTGAAAAAATATTCTAAATGAGATATGCTTAAAAAATTACGTTCTTGATTATATCTACACTAATATTACAAAGAGGAAAACTTTGTTTGTATGTTTGTTTGTTTGTAATGAATAGGTTTTAGACCTATCAATTTTAATAAAATGTAATAATATTAATAATGCTACTAGATTAATAAATGATACCCTATATAAATAAACGCTTTGGCTACAAAATTAAAATACGGAAATTAACTATGAGAAAACTAAAATCATGCAGTTAAAAATCATACAACCCCCCCCCCCCCCCTTAATTTAGACATAAACTATCAAAACATAAAACTAGAAACCGTAGATTCATTCAATCTTCTAGGTCTAACTATCGATACTCATTTGAATTAGAAATCCCATATAGAATCCATTAAAATAAATCTGTTTCCCATTATGCACTTTATCAACTAAAGCAATGTACACACAGAAACAGCGATATCAGCATATAACGCCTATGCACACGGGTGGTTGAAATATGAAATAATGTTGAGGGGAACAGCAAAAACGCGGATGAAAAAAAAAATGTTTGCGTATAATATCTTACATAGACAAAACACAGAGTTGTAAACCGTATTTAAAAAAATATAAGGTGTTCACGCTGCTGTCAATATACATTCAGGACATATCAGTTTCTGTACATAAAAACATAAGATACATTCACAAAAGTTGAAGACACCCACAGTAGAAACACACGTCATAAAAAAAGATTATATCTTCCACCATCAAGATTAAAAATAGCCCGCATTATATGTGTATAAAAGTATATAAGAAATTACCAGGTTACATTAAATTAGAGGCAAAAAGATTTTAAGAAAAAATTGACATGCTATTGATTGGACAAATGTTATCATAAAATTGATGAATATTTCGCAGTTAAATAAATATACTAACTGATTAATTCTCAGACGTTGCCATGTCTTAGCAGGACGTCACATGTATCCTACCATAAATTATGTACCACCTCATTGTTTGTAAGAATATGACATGCAATAAAATAATTTGAATTTGAATAGAATTGTTTAACGCAGTCGCCAGCCCTATTAGCATCTACGCGTCGTAGCACATCACCTGTCCGTAGCAGCGTTGTAGCAGTAGTTCGGTAGAAAGTCGTAGTTCAGCTCCCAGAACACGTGGAACGCTATTCTGCCGTACGGAGCCAACACGCCGTGATCGGACTCGCGCAACGTCGCGTCGAACTCGTCCAGAGTCAAATAACGACTCAGGAGTTTGTGGCACAGCCGATTGACAGCTATCAAACCTTCCAGTTCCTATAGAAAATAATAATAAATCAAAACTGAAACACCATAGTTTAACTGCATATATATAAAATTAGTGTGTCTGTTTGTAATAAGTAATGGACTTGCTTATACATAGAACATATACCAAAAAAAACATTAAAGTCAAATAACGACTCGGGAGTTTGTGGCACAGACGGTTGACAGCTATCAAAAGTTCCAGTCAGTTCCTTTTAAAAAAAATAAGTCACAACTGAACTTTTATACTTATTATATTTACAATATTGCGTAAATTAATTATGCGAAAACACCATTATAATTCCGACATAAAAAAATAGTTTAAATACATACATCTACACAAATAAATAAAATTGAAGTGTCTGATTGTAATAAGTGTATACATAGTACATATACCAAAAAAAAAACATTATTTTTCCATTTAAAAAAAAAATGTAAATACTAAAGTACATATACACAAATAAAATTTTTATTATTTCTGTCTGTTTGTTTCGGCTAATGTCTGAAACGGCTGGAC